GGCCTCGGGGCCCCGCCGCCCCCTCGAGCTGCGCCCGGGATGTCCGCCGATCCGGGCGCTCCCGGGGCGGCCCTGGAGATGCCTGGCGAGGGGGGCGCCGAGGCGCAGATGACGAGTGGGTCGTCGAAGGAGAAACTCGGCATCGCTCGGGCGTGTGCCTTTTTTCTCGGCGAGGGCCATCGAGGAGCCTTTTTGGGTCGCCCTGCGAAACAGTGCACGCACGGCGCCGAACAATGGCACGGGGAATGGGCGTCCGAGCGATGGCGAGAACAGGGGCAGGGGTATTGACTTGCGGAGGTCGCGCGGATCTCGTGGATCGGCGTGATCCCCCTCCCGGCCGCGCGGAGCTCGCCGGGGGGGCCCAGCGCCGATCCGAGAAGTCCGCACGGACCTCCAAACCCGGCTGCGCGCAAGAGTGGCCCTTCGCTGCAGTGACCATCTGGCGCGGGCACACAAGGGGCCTGTCAGCACTGGCTCGGGGGCGGAAAAGAGGGGGGTGATGGAGGGGGGGGATGTCAGGGCGGGGGCCATGGTTTTTCCCCCGATTTTATGGCGCCTCTCCTTATTTCATTACGTCCCTGGCCCCCCCCCTGGGCCGCGCACATGCCGCCGGTCATGATTTGCACCCCCCCTCTTGGACACCCCCCCCCTCTTCAAGCAGCGGCGAAGCGTCCTGGCTCGCCTAAAGCCCCACCAAACAATGTTCTAATAACCTATTGTGGTTCCCACGAAATGTTCTTAGAACATTTCTGGCTGGGACTGTCTTGTTTTAACACATCGGGCTTATGCTCTATGTTTTTGTTCCTAGAACATATTTAGGTTCTAAGAACACTTCGTGGTATGACTATAGGAATGCCGGGACGGTCGGTCCCTGCTCAACCTCTTGGCCGCTCCCGAAAGGGGCCTGCCAGCAATGGCTGGCGCGCTTGGATTTCGCCGATTTGACATCTCCCGCGGCCCCCGAAAGCCGCGCACGCTGCCCAGGGTCACTCCCGCGCGCCGCCGGCAGCCGTTCCCGCGCTCCTGCCGGTTTTTTTTTTGCTCCCCCTCCCAGGTCCTGCAGGCTGGTCGTCAAGATAGGGGGCCACATGCGAGCCCTACCCCTACCCCCCACGATTTCTAAGGGGGAGGGTGGGGTTCACTCCGCTCGGGAGCTCCCGAGCGGAGTGAACCCCACCCTCCCTCCCAGAAATCGTGGGGGGCAGGGGTAGGGCTCGCATGTGGCCCCCTACAAGAACAGCTTCCTGGAGCTCGTGCACGTGGAGCCCCACCTCCGGCGCGCCCAGAGCGACAGCGACCTCTGGAGCTCGTCCGGCGGGTGCCCCTCGCGGCCGGAGGACGACGCCTCGCTCGTGGCCGGCCGCGGTCGCCTGCCCGGCCGCGCGGGGGCGGCGTCGACGTCGATGCAGGAGCTTCTCGCGGGCGGCGCGGACGGCCGCAGCTCTCCCGGAGGTGCCCGGGCCCGCGGGCAGACTCGGCACGGACGAAGGGGGGGGATTGGGAAAGGGGGGGTTACGAAATTTGCTGCATGCAGCTGATCTCGGCCCCACCGAGGGGCCCATTCCTCGATACATAATTAGCCGCCTCTGGCGCCGGGAGGCGCCGGGAAAATCAGCTACGTGCGCTGATTCTCAAACCCCCCCCTTTGCTCTCCCCCCCTTTCGCCCGCCCCGACAGACGCGAGGGGGGCGTCGAAGGGAGGCGTAGAGTGAGGGCGGGGGGGTCGGGAAAGGGTGTGGAGCTTGGGCAGCGCCCTAACTATCCCCCCCTCTCGCCGAGGCTCTGCCGACGAGGACGGCCACCGCAGGATCGAGGGGCGCCGCGATCGGGGCAGAACCGGCGCGACCATCACGCAGTGGGAGGTGGAGGCGGAGGAGGAGAGGGGCGACTGCTTGGGGAATTGCAGGAGGGACGACGATGATGCTGATGCTGGTGCTGATGCTGGTGCTGATGCTGGTGCTGATGCTGATGCTGATGCTGATGACGATGATGATGATGATGATGATGATGATGATGGTGATGGTGATGGTGATGAGGATGATGACGATGACGATGACGATGACAATGCTGATGATGATGATGATGATGATGATGATGATGATGATGATGCTGATGCTGATGCTGATGCTGATGCTGCTGCTGCTGGTGCTGATGCTGCTGCTGATGCTGGTGCTGGTGCTGATGCTGATGCTGATGCTGATGATGATGCTGATGCTGCTGCTGATGCTGATGCTGATGCTGATGACGATGACGATGATGATGATGATGATGATGATGATGATGATGATGGTGATGGTGATGGTGATGAGGATGATGACGATGACGATGACGATGACAATGCTGATGATGATGATGATGATGATGATGCTGATGCTGATGCTGCTGCTGCTGGTGCTGGTGCTGCTGCTGATGCTGGTGCTGATGCTGATGATGATGGTGATGGTGATGCTGATGCTGATGCTGATGCTGATGACGATGATGATGATGATGATGATGATGA